TTTTGAGGAGTCTTTGGGTGGTACAAATGCTCGACTACCAGCCAAAAGGTTGGTGGTTCAAACCCACTCAGAGGCACCTCAGAAAGTAGGCCTGGCAGTCTGCTTGTGAAGGGTCAAAGCAAAGCAAACCCAGTGCCTTTGGCTGCAGCCTGAAACCCTATGGAATAGTTCTTCTCTGCACACAGAGTCACCATGAGTCAGAATCAACTCAATGGCAACTAAAAACAATTATTTTATAATTGATGAAACCAGTAGAGACCGTAGATTTAGATCTATTGGGAAAAGATCTTGCTATTATTTCCCTGCAGAATTAGGCAGAGTCATTCATCAAATCACGGGTAATGCTGCTTAGCAGTAGACCCTCCTCTGGGGGCGGACCCCTTATCACATGAGGAAAGTAGTCCATACAGTGTGCTCTCCACAAGCAGGTATATCCCAAAGAGGAAGAAAGGCATGAGCTGAGCGTGTCCAGTTTTTCTTTCTGGCTTACCAATCAGACAAATCTACTCCTTCTCCCCTGGCGATGGGTAAATGAGAGTGTATTGAGAGATGAGAGTGTTACCTCTGAGAAGGTGCTCCAGATAGAAACCTGAGACTGGGGAAAGGATGTCCCTGGTAACTCAGGTACACTACCTGGAAGGCGTTTGGTTCTCTGAATTGACTTCTATTGCCCCGCCCCTTTCATCCTTCTCTCTGCTGTTCTCAGAGTGATTGTGAAAACACTCTGCAGTAGTGAGAAGCCACTTAAAGAAGAAGTTATAGGAACGGGATGGCAAAGCATAGCATGGAACAGGACACAGTCTTTGGCGAGGAGAAAATGGAGCAGAATGAAGAAATGTCTATCCAGAAACTTAGAATTACAGCACCAGGAGCTCTGGTGGTGCAGTGGTTAAGGCATTTGGCTGCTAACCCAAAGGTCAGTGGTTTCAGCCCAACAGCTGCTCTGTGGAAGAAAATGAGACAGTCTGCTTCCATAAAGACTTACAGCCTTGAAACCCAGTGGGGGTTACTATGAGTTGAAATCCACTCCACAGCAGTGGGTTTGGTTTGGGTGTTGGTCCCTCTTTTAGAAGTTTAACAATTTGACCAAAAATTGATATCATATTTTGCTGTTGTGTGCTATTGAGTTGATTCTGACTCATTGTGACCCTCTAGGACAGAGTAGGAGTTCTGGTAGCATAGTGCCTAAGGCACTTGACTGCTAACCAGAAGGCTGGAAGTTCAAACCCACCAGCCACTCCTCGGAAGGAAGGTTGGGCAATCCTACTTCCGTAGTGATACTGCCTCGGAAACCCAAGGGAGGGGTCGCTATGAGTCAGGGCCGACTCGACGGCAAATAACAACAACAACAACAGGACAGAGTAGGATCGACCTATAGGGTTTCCTAGGCTGTAATCTTTACTGGAGCAGATCTTTTCTCCCGCAGAGCCACTGGTGTGTTGGGCTGCCAGCTTTTTGGTCGGCAGCTGAGCACTTAACCATTGTGCCACCAGGCATCCTAGTATTTATATAAGAAACTGTTAATTGACCTCCCCTTCAGCAGCTTGCCAGCTTAGCTGATGCTCGTTTCCTCCATAAAACTTACGGACTGCTGGTGAGCACTGGTAGCTGATGGGTCCCCAGGAGTTGGCCCACATACCCTCACACTTCTCTGTATCATTTCCCAGAATTGAGCCCATGTCTGTTCATGCCAGTTGTATTAATTATCATACGTCTGTAGTTTAATTCGTTATTATGTAGACTGATGGAACATGAGTAGGAAGAGAAAGTTATTGTGATGAAAATTACTGAAAACTTTTAAATAAATTGTATAAAGGTGCATTTCTAAAAAATGCTTGCTTCTGGATTAGGCGTAAAGGAGACAACCATGAAAGGTTGGGGAACATTTTAAAAATTTGTACTCTAACTACTTTGTGGGTGTGGTGAAGTGCTTGCCCCTATTTAAACTGAAACTAGATCACAATGTGCATTATGGAATTGATTATTCCAGGCAGACAATATCCCACCTACAAACTTGGGAGTTAAGAGTTTCCTTTTGAGAGTTAAACTATATGATCAATATGAAATGAACGAGGTCTGAAATAATCCAAGTCTGCTCAGATAGATAAAATGCTGTGCTAGGTCACTTTTGCTCAGTTTAAGGAGATAGACTAATACCTGAAGAAGGAATGTGTCCATCAGAAAGGGTTGTTGTTGGTGATTATGGGGAATGAAAAAAGGAGATTGGCCAGGAATGTAAACATAGACCCAGAAGTCTCCTCCTGGGGATTCTACTCTTGGAAACCATCCTCCTCAAACTTCTCCACCCTCAGCTGTTGCCTGTTGTGTGTTGGCTGCGGTGTGGAGAGCCTGGGCTCTGTTTTCATCCAAGGGGCCAGAACAGAAGCAGAGCTAATAAAGCAAGGGTCTAGGTAACAATCCGTGATTAGGAGTTCTAAAGCTTTCTTACTAAGGCTTCTTGGAATTTAGCTCTTTACCCCAGTATGTAACTACCTCTAGACACAAGCACCTAATCCTGGAGGTGGAGACTTTCAGGAGTTTCGTATTGTTTTCAAAACTTTTCCTCCAGCGATTTTACTCTATACACTGAACCCTTTTTGATAAGAAAGGTCAGACTCAAGGTCTAACACTCTGAATTAGCGTGTGCATAAACTAATTTCGACAGGAGCTGAGCCCTCCATTCAGGTGCCAAAGCAGCCTTGGCACAGGCCGAAGTGAGGTTTTGTTTTATGTCTTTCAGCACCTGTGCTTTTACAAAGAACATACACATCCCTGGTGCTGGCATGAGGCATGATAATGTGGTTACAGCATCCAGGCCTCTCAGGTCTGTCCTCTGTGCAGTGCACGCAGAAAAACAGTGGCCCTGTCATGGCTAGCAGGGTAGAGACACATGCATTATGGGTTTGGCCATCAACAGCGCTCAAGTCATCCAGATAATGGACCCAATCCACACTCCCTCCAGTCTGTGCAGCCATTATGGTCAGAAACAATGTTGTGGAGATGCTTACCACCTCTGAAATCCATCAGTGTGGATATAAACTGACTGGACCAGGGTTGGGAGGAACCTCCGATCTTGTTAACTATTTTCTATACATGTTGCAAATAATGTTTCAATAGTCAGACAACAGAAGGGCTATAGCATTCACTGTATCTGCTAATTTGCCAAATGAATTTCCTCCCTAAAACCATCCAGTCTGTTTTTTTTTTTCAGGAAAATGGGTTTACCACGCTAGTTAGTATATTAAAAAAAAAAAACAGTTGATACACTTCACTATAATACTTTGGGCAAATCTGGTGATTTATGTGAAACCAAACCGAACTTACTACCATACAGTCAATTCTGACTCATGGCAACCCCCATTGGGTTTCCAAGGCTGTAAATCTTTATGGAAGCAGACTGCCACATCTTTCTTGTGTGGAGCTGCTGGTGAGTTCGATCTACCAATCTCTTGGTTAGCAGACAAATGCCTTAACCACTACACCACCAGAGCTCCTTGATTTATGTGACATATTTTTAAAAAATATATCTTAAAAAATTTTGGTAAAGTAGAAGGTTAGTGGTTCGAACCCACCAGCTGCTCCTTGGGAGAAAGATGTGGCAGTCTGCTTCCATAAAGATTTACAGCCTTGCAAACCAATGGGACAGTTCTACTCAGCCCTATAGAGTCATTATGAGTTGGAATGGACTCGTGGGCAGTGGGTTTGCTTTTAGACGCAGCCAAAGACACACCATTTCTGTAATTTCTACATGTATAATTAATTGACATTGATGGCATGCTTTAAGTCATGCTTGAAATATTTTTTTAAAGGAAATTGATTTTGAAATAATTTTAAACTTTTGGAAAAGATACAAAAAAAGTACAGAGTCCACTTCCTAAGCTGTAGTAAGTATTGAAACTTTAAAACATATATAACCTTCAGGTGAATATCCACTCATTGTTAACATTTTGTTATTTCTCATTTTCAATCTCTTCTCTTCTCTCTCCTCCCCTCTTCTCCTGTTTTTCTTTTTTCTGTATTTACGTACATACATATCTATGAGTCATATCTATGAGCACGCACACACCCACATAGATATTGCTATCTCTTTATGAACCATTTGAGAGTAAATTGCCAGCATCATGCCCCTTTACCCCTAAATACTTAAATATGTGTTTCCTAAGAACAAGGACATTCATTTACATAATCACAGTCTAATTATGAACAACAAGAGCTTTAACACAAACACAATGCTATTATCTAATTTAGAAACCTTATTCAAATCTCACCAGTTGTCTCATAGCAAAACTTTTTTTTTTTTTTTTTTTTTTAATTCTGGAGTCAAAACCAAGATGACACATTGCATTTCGTTTTCTGTTCCTTTGGTCTGTTTTAGTCTGGAATGTGTTCTTAACCCGTCTTGGTTTTTCATGAAATTGCATTTTTAAATAGTTCAGGCCTGTTATTTACAGACTGTCTCCCAGTTTGGATTTGTCGCTGCTTCCTTATGATTCAGCTGAGCCTTGCTGACATTTCTGGAACTCCAGGCAGGGGGCTTGTCAGTCCGTTTTCCCCACCGTTGGGGATGTTAACTTCCATTGCACCTTGTGGTGGTGTCTGCTAGGTTTCTCCATCCTAAAGCTAAGACAGTTCCCCTTTGTAATTAATAAGGAGCCCTGGTGGCAAAAAGGTTGAGTGCTCAGCTGCTAACCAAAAGATGGGAAGTTTGAACGCACCCAGTGCGCCACGGGAGAAAGACCTGGCGATCTGCTCCCATAAAGATGATAACCCAGGAAACCCCACGGAGCACTTTCACTCTCTGAGTCAATAGTGGGTTCACTGTGAGTTCAATCAACTGGACAGCACCTAACAACAACGCAATAAGGAATTTGTGAAGACATACTTTGGAACTAGGTATATAAATACCCCCTTCCTTGTCAGACTTCCCCTACTGGCTTTATCACGTCCTCCGACCTCAGCGCAGTAGTATTTCACGCGTGCTGTTTGTTCTTTCTCCGCAGTCGTGATCATGTGTGCGAGCAGCAACACCATCCGCAGCATCATGCTGGCTGCGCACAGGCACGGCCTGACCAGCGGAGACTACGCCTTCTTCAACATTGAGCTCTTCAACAGTTCTTCCTATGGTAACTCTGGTCTCAGTTT